CTTGACTATCACGACCATCTTCTAGGTCATGTGGTGAATTCTGATGGATAGAGCTCCGCTGACTCGGGTACATCAAGGCTGCATTAACATGCCGTACGTCTAGAGTTACGTAGTAACATATCATCAGGTTTTATCCTCACTTCATATAAACAACATTTCAGCATATATCTTGGCTTTCGTAAAGTTTAAAGCTGTTGTAAATATGGCCAGAATCGTTAATTGTGGGAAGGGGCTGCAATTGTTACCTTTAGCACCACTGCAAACCTGGAAGCTGCTTAAGACTTGTGAAGTCCGATCATCGGCCTGGTCGGCTAGCATGGAGATCTAGACCCGAAGGAAGAGACGAATAACGCTGCTGAGAAAGGAATCAAATCAATAGCTTCACTTTGGGTAAAACATTTTATCGGTGAGGTTTCACAGGTCTAAGTCACTGTTTAGCGTAAATCAGTTGTGAGCCACAACCTGTCTTTGGAAGCCTACAGATTTTCAATAGCCTGTCTGGTCATTAGAACTTTTTAAATTTATAGAATCAGCATGCGCCTATTCGCCAGAAATTCATACTTCATTCTTAATGAAGGGTTACGATTCGTTAAGTCGCCCGCTGCTGCTGCAATGGCTATCGTGCATTACCGCAATTTATCATGCTATACTGCGGACAGCTTGTTCCAGTTTCATTCACTCATCAAATAATTTATAGTGACATGAATTCGATGTGTGTTTATATTCCCTTCGTATATCCAGGTAATGTACAATGCCCGTGACGCCCGGAAATTTTATCCACAACGAAGGTCGTTCGTTCTTCCACAGCCCGCTATTCCTTTTCGGTCATGAAGGTTCAGGTCCCACTAATACGGAAGCTTAATCGACCTGATTCTAAGAGGCGGCAAAGCAGGCGTCGATCTGTTCGGATCATCTAGACCTTGTTCGATCTTAAGGTTGTTGACCTAATCAGATCAGCAATCCTTCCAATTACAAACCATTTTATTTATTACTGTTTTGCCACCAACGGAAATAAAGTTTTCTATAGCGGTACAAATGAACTGTGTGTAATTTGACAACCATCCTCTCGTTCTTGTTGCCTGAAACGGGCAACGATCAGAGTAAGGGATGACTCGGTACAATGGGACTTGTTTCCCTTTATCCGATATAGTAACCGTGAAGTCGAGAACTCTGAAACGGTCGGCGAACGAGACTCTAA